GGGGGGGGGGGAAGCGCAATAGTCGAGTTTGGTTCCTATTAAAGTGAATCAGCAGTTCATATCCTCGACCATGCCGGGGTTTGAACTAGGGGCATTTAAGCACTAGTTCAGCAGACGCTGGACGCACCCAAATTATCACGCCTGAACAGGCGAATTTGATCATGCTTGAGTGGTTCGCCCAACACCTCGAAAGACGACCCAATAACTCTCCTGGTTGTGTCGATCAACTGACCAGCTTGTCATGACCTTCCAGTCAGGTAGCGCAACGGCCGCCTGAAACCAGCTGGACAATTTCCGGCTTCCTCAATACCAAAGCTCTGAAGTGACGTGATCCGTTTAGAACATGATGTTACGGCGTGTTTGACAGAAACGCGGATGTGACTAGCAGGGATTTACGGCTAACACGGTATGTGACTCTGTAACGCCTCATTTTCAACCGACTCAACCGCCTTTGGCGGGCGTGCCATAGAACAACTCTAACAAAGCAAAACGATACTAAGGTTTTATAGGGGTTGGAAATATGTACAGAAAGAGCAGGTTGTTCTCTTTTTGGAATTATTCCTATTTAAGAACGACAGCTTGGGTTGAGGAAAATTTTTTGAACGAAACGATTTCGTCAGTTTCGTTCGCATCCTCGATCGTGGGAGGGAGAACGCTGCGCAGTTGTGCTCCACCACTTCAACAGTTGCGGAAGTAAACTTTTTGGAGTTAGAAGACCAACCAAAAGTGGCCAAGTTTTAGGCGTACCTCTCGAGATGGAGAAAATTGCAATGACCGTAATTGGCAGCCCTAATCGCGTGGACCACTGAGTAGCGCGGTCGGATGTGACTTACACAAAGCTGTCGCACTAAAGTTATCAACAGCTGAATGGAGGATAGCGGGAGCACAGCTGATTTTGAAAATACTCTCAAATTCTTGAGTATCGGAATGATATGTACTGTTTGCTGTAGCGCACACAGAATTCTCTCTTCCGGCTGAATGTTTGGCAAGATTTTAGTCCGATCATACGAAAGTTAAGCATCAGACAGATGAGTTCGGCCTTGTAGCAGCTTGGTAGTTTGAGACACCAGAAAACCAATCAAGCAATCAAGCTAAACGGAAGACCAAACAGACGCAAATGTCCAACTGGTGGATGTCAGATTATTGGGCTGGGAAGAGTATTGCGTGCGTGTACACGATGGAACGACATGCGGTGGTACCAGGATATTGATAACGCCGAGTTGTATATTGGTTGTTGATCAGGTGCATCTGGATAAGTTGGTTTGCAATAAAAACCGACTGATAAGCTTGGTGAACATACCAACAGTGACTTGATCGACAACCAAGGACTTTATTGGAGTGTTTGATGTGTAAAGGGAGTGACTGCAGACGCAAAGCCACCTCCTGAATCCAAACGCGGTAGTCCATGTGTGGTGGCGCGAGCGGCAAGCTTAATCCAGGGGGCACTACAATTTTAGGGTGAAATAACCCCGGGGGAACTTTGAGCAGTCCCACGAAGGCGCCTTGAAATGAAACCAAGGTATCCCAATTCGACGCCCATCGCGAGCGCACGTAATCCGAACGATTGCTTGTGGATTGTGGCATACAGAGGCTGCATCCATGGTAGCTTACGGTACCAAATAGGATAACTGTTTGTTTCTACCAAAGGAGTTTATTTATTCCTACCGAAACTGCTGAACGGAGGTAGATTACATATAAACCATGCCATAGCCAACGGTCTGAGAATCTCAAAAATACCCTCACATCCGTTTTACGGCACACAAACGTGAGTCATTGGTGTTCTCTTGCTACTAAATAGAAGTGTAATGTACTAACCGAAACATCTTTCAACCTTCTGGCCTACGTCTTGTGGCTTCGAAGTGAAATAATGTAGAATGAAATGGACCGCGAAGTGTGAAGTGAAGATCGAAAACTGCTGCGCTTGCGTGACAGACGATTCTCAATACCCATCAACGAAAGAAATGGATAGACACTAACCTGTTTCTTGCTCCGTCACTCAAAAAGTTGATGAAACCTGGATCAAACCAGTCTATCATAAACTTCAGTTTTGTTGCCAAACACTAAATTCCGAAATTGGTGATCAGCTAAACACACACTAAACACACTAGAGGCAAGCAACTGCTTTGAAGCCATGATTATTTTACGCGAGGACGGCAAATGACAGTGCTCAGAATAGGCTTACCATGATGAAACAAGGTAGATAATTTTCCATCTACTTCAAGAGTGACAAAGTGGCGGGAACAAAAAAAGTAGAAGTTTCTTAAACGTGGACAACGGCAAACTTACCAGGGCATGGTTGATAAGGATAGAGCAGAGTTGTGTCGACCTCGTCAAAACATCGATTCAGGGAGACTTTGGAGTAGTGATCGATTAAGGCCTGTCAACAGGGATAAAGACGTACAAGTGAAAGGACTGCGATTATGAATAGACGTTGAACTGAACTGCGCCGCCTCTACTCTATTGACAGTACAAAGTCATTAACATAGGTCGGATTGCGACCGGTCGTTCTATCAAAAGTTCCATTCAGGGGAGAGTTGATTCACCAAGGCACCCTTAACTGTGTGCGATTAAGGAAACTGGCTGAGAGTTCCATGGATAGATTGGAGGTTTTTTCTGATCTTATTCAGATACCTTTGACAGGGAATTATACGTAACAAACAACAATACTGGCCGGTGCTGAGTTCTGTGCGAATGAGAGCCGTTGCGTCCCTGTTGGATGTCTGAATTGTGAGTTCAGGTTTCTACGAACATCACTAGCCATACCCGCTTGAAAATATGTTATCTGATTATTAGAATAGATGAGCCGAACCCGTGACTGAATTTTCTCTTCATTTGCTATGTACCGAGGTAGATATTTAATCGTTTGAACAACGGTGTTCACAATTCAAACAATATAACAACTCGAAGAATTCCACGGGCATGGTTTAAGCTCAGAACAGTAGAGTTTTTATTCTCACTGCTTTGGTCGTAATGGTGGACAGATGTTCAGCAATATTGCCCATTTACAGACGCACCTCCCTACGGTATCACCCCCGGTCGGCAGGTTCGAATTCCAGTTAAGACAATTGTGAAACGAGCATTCGCCCTTGTAGAAATCAACGGTCACGTCAAATTCGTCCCGATAACGGTAGTATATTGTCAGCACAATTCAATTGACTTGTCATCAACGTCATACGTTGTACGGTTGCGTAGTAAGGGTATGCGGGATGTGGGTTCCAAAAGGCTGAAAGCTACTAAAGAGTTTACACTGTTTACACTATCTTAAATATAGACTTAACACACTATCCATAAGGTTGCTGAAAACTTCTCGATACCCTACGATGGGTTTCACTCTTCTTTGAGCTCATGAGGTAGGCGTAGTACCCGAGGGTTCGTCAATCCTATATTTTAGTTGGACATAAATAGTACGTGATTGATAAATACATTCACTTGCGTACCAATTTGGTTTTCAGGGGGAACTCATCTACACCCCGACTGAATCTCTTATGTACCATGTTTTTCCGATAGGGTTCAGGTGAGCCTCGCGTGAAAATCAAATAGGTACGCAGATGAGTGTATAAGTAAAACTTCGTTAAAATTTGGTTCAAGTAGAATATGAGGTTGACGAAAACTCAGGCACCGCGCCTACCTGATGAGCCCTAAGAAGAGTGAAACGGTCGTGGGCTGTCAAGGAGTTTTCAGCAACCTTATGGGTAGTGTATCACGTCTATACAAAAAAAACGTTCAGCTGTAGCACCCTTTCGGTACCTAACTGCCACCCGAAGGTTGCACGAGGGCTGGGATACTGCCAGGTCGCCCAAGCCTAGACAGGGGAAGTCGAGTGGCAGAGGTCGGGTTCGAACCACGGACATTCCGGTCAGTAAATTCGCGCTCTAACCACTTGGGCCATCTCGCTCTCCACAAAACAGAACAAGTTCATCTAGGTGCTAAATGATTTGACAGTTCGTTGGGTTGATGTCTGGAAACCGACCAAATAACGAGGGGACTTGCTGTGAATCATAATCATTTACGAAGTAAGCAGCGTTGTGAGAGCAGAAGTTATTTATGGTAACCAATGATGATACGGATTAGAGGCGGTCACAAAAGATAAAACGGTGCTATCTGCGATAGACAGTACTTTGGAGAAAACTCACAGAATAGGTCCTGTGGGCAATCACAACGTGCGCACACAAGAGTGAGTGTGATAACCTACAGATTTGACCTTAATTAGGTGAATGAAAAAAGATAACCGGACGGCGCTTGTGCTCAAACTGACTTTGGAAAACAAACTGGGACCCAACTCAGATAAAAAAATAGCTAACCAGCTGCTGAACGTAATCCACAGCATCCCAACTTGTACGCAAATATTCGACACAGAATCACTACTCGCACATGGTACGGACAGGAAGACTTTGACATTGACGATTTCAAGTTTCAATGGATTGACTGAAGGATCGTTATACGACGCAGTGGTGTTGCGCACGTGCCGTTACCGTGAGCTTAGAAGCTGTATATAATCGGACATTCAGGTTGGTTTGGGTGCATCAAACGCTAGACGAATCAGTGAACAACAAGCACAAAACAATCGTAAAACACGGTTATCGTCTAAAAAGTAGGACAAGCCCATGATACCGGAGAGATTTCCGTATGGAACATTAGCTATATACACATACTATATATACAGGAGCAAGCTTCAAGTTGAAATATGACCCTGAGACTGAGTCGTAGAAAGAACAACCAATTGTTCTGAGTAATTCTATGAAGGTTATTTCGTCTGACGTCAAACTCAACATGAAATATCCTAATCAGCAGGTAGATCGATTGGGCGAGAGGTGAAAACTGTGACCAGCAGCGCAGAAACTATCGACTACCTCATTCTGAAAGGATGCGAAGGTTGGACCACATTGCATCAGTCAAAGTCGGGTGATATCTGGCCAGTGATGACTTGTACTTCAAAAGGAACTGTCTGAGTACGACATCCGTTTCGCTCTCATGACCAATGGAATCTGGTCGAGTAAGGATCAACCAAAGTGAATATGCAATTCTGGATCCCTGAGCTGCGGTTGTCAGTAAAATCTGGACGAAACTAGAGAATACGCACAACATACAGCTTAAGCGTATATATTTGCATTCCCAGCGGATTGCAAATTTAATCGCTCTTTTGACAGTTTGCTCACACACATGAAGTGCCCCCTATATTAAGCACCATCAAGTGTCCATTGTCACAGATTTGGAAACGTTAACCGTGATTTCGTGTTGTGAGTGAGCCTAAGAGCCGAGAAGCATTGTACAGCTGTTTCATCCCTATTGAGAATCATCAGCAGTGCACAGGTCACAAATCTCCAAGGAGTTTCGAACCCGTGATCTTCCGGCCAGTAGTTGAGCAATGAAAGATTCAAACATGGGCAGTTGGCCAGCAGTGCAATTTAGACAGGATATACCGCGTGGTCGGAACACTGCTGATAAGTCTTCCTAGCTGAGTCTGTTCTTCAGCTTTCGTCTTGGATTGACTAAGTGATCTAGAGTGGCGAACGACACACGTCCCTAATAGGTTTAGCGGTGGAACGAGACAGGAGGCAGCAAATAGAATGAGGAAACTGTAGTAGGCAGCCGCAATCTTGTGTTGTCACTGGCAACGTTTTGGTATCCAGCATCGATCGGGACGCGTAAGCAGCCTATTTAAACTCGATGGAAAACGAACCTACAACCACATGACATCCACGACGAGTCTGTCCTCGACGGTGAATAAAAGCCATTTCATGTACTTAGTAGAAGTGTTGTATAAAGTGCACCAACTAGGTACAAAATTACTCAGCATTTTGGGATGGACGATTGGTTTTTGAATCAAAAAGCTGTTTCATTTGAACACAACTGAACACAAGTACCTTCCAATCAAATGCAGGTGAATTGGAACTGCATTGCAGTTAATTGTGCGAAAATATGATTTTTCGTATCCAGGAGCACTATCCTTTCGATAGGGGATCAATATGCACCAAGTCACCTTTTCTTGGTTTCTGAACGGCCAAAATCACGCCATGTGAGCCGATGAACCTGATCCTTTTGCTGAATAGTCTATGCATTCTTTGTCAGACCGAGACAAAAATAAACAGAAGCCCTTGAATGAACGCTTTTGAGTGTTAGAAGTATAAAGACCAATACCAATGGGTATCGGTCATGGAGGATGAAGGCTGATGAATTACAGTGGCCCTATGACTAATTCGCACGTTCTTGCTACTATGCCCCGATGAACGTCAGAATTGTGTTCTAGTATTCAAAACAGACAAACATGTGGCAAAAGCCAAGTAGAAACGTAGGCATTGAGCACTGTGGTGAGAAGAACAGTGTTCACTGGGAAAATAAACCACAGTGGACCTTTAAGTACAATACCTTAGCCATATAGGCCTCAAAAGATTGACAGACATTCGAGTTACACAAACCTACCACTCGATTCTGTGGCCAGTATAAGTCAGACCAGAAAACAGTCTAGAAAACCGGTTCATCCAAATTGTATCAACTGCATCGTCTTGCAGAACGTTCCGAGAACTACAATAACTCAAGGGTGGTAGCATACAACATACTGTTTACATGTAAATCAGTGGCTCTAAAACGGCGCAGAACTCCTTCCAAAGGGGAATAACCTGTGTCTGCAGTTTCAGTTCTTTTAGCAATGGTTGCAAGTTTGGTTCAATCTGTTCTTGAAGTGTGCAACAGTCGTTGACCTCATTCCGCGTCTGTATGTTGACAAGAATACTCGAGACTAGAGCAATTGTGAACCAACAGTGCAGACCCTCTCTCTCTTTTACACTGTACATACTACTTAAAGCATTCCTTCACCACTATAGGCCTTTACATGGGTAATCTCTCTTCGAAGGGGAGGGGACATTATATATAGGACGACAAGGAAAGTCGTTTGAATTCTTGAGTAGTGGCCAGTATCAGGGGATGTAGTGTACAGTGCATGGCGGTTACATATTTCTCTGGTGTAATCACGACTTTGGCTGGGACAAACGGTGTACAACAATGCGGTTGTCCTGGTGTGGTTTGCTATTCATTCACGGTTTTGTACTGCTGTGTATGCAAGTGTTACCTCAACTGCTACAAAATAACCATTCTGTTAACTTCAAAACGGTAAAGTATGATAATCAGTCGCTGCTAGACTAGGATTCGAAGAATGCCTTGGAATAAAGCGAATTAGTTTTGCTCGCTACCTAGAAATCACTGACCAGTACCCCAAGGTCGCAAACATCTTTCGGTCTGAATGTTAATGTACCATGAGATTTGCTACAGGCCACGTCATGTACGAAATATAGAAAGTGGCCGGATTTAGCCGTGGCCGTTCAAAGAAAAATGCATTATATCCCCAGAACGGAACGATGCACGCTTTGATGGCGAAAAATAGCTTAATGTGGGTAGTTCTGACGGACCAATATAGTGTTGGTACTGGTGCAGAGATTTGCGGTGGGATGAGGGCATTGCAAACAGAAAAAACTCAGTCTGCGACTACAGAAGAAAAGCGGACAACCGGTCCACATATCACAACAATGAATGCCCTTTTCAATACCAGAAAACCGACTGGAGTTTCAGATCTACCAACGTGAAAACACGGTGGTACATGAACTTCAAATCACCAGTTGTGGCTACTGTTTCTTGAGCTAAATAACATGGGTTGGGATGTACGGGCTTAATCCTACCGAGCCTGATGGCGGGATATGTCTATGCGGATGGCTGTGATTTCCATATTGTGCGAACTGGGACCTGTTGTCCCACAGCGACCACAAAAATTCGGTGTGGAAATCGTGAGAAAGTCGATAAAAAGAATGCACACGATATACGTTTGCCATAACTAGTAGATTTTTTTTAGAGTTTTGAGAACAATGATGTTATTCTTCGTTCTGGTTCGGATAACATTTCGCGCCCCTTCAACACGCGATTTGCAAGAGTTGACCAACGTGGATCCTGATTCAAAATCGAATGCGTATCCAACATGGTTGTGGATTCAGCCATTAGCATGAATGGCGCATAAAAAATTGACGAGAAACCGATTAACATTTCGCGCGGAATAGTTTCAATATTACAGTAAGATCGATAAATCTATTCAGACATTGGCAGAGTTTGGTTGGCAGAGTAAAGCAGACTACATGTAGGAGTTCACGCAGGTATGTATCGCAAACCAACCAGTTGTTCAGAAAAACAGCCCGACATACGAGCCCCTGAATGGAAACAGCATACGAGTGGAATTAGCGACTGACTATTGTATGTGTGGAGATCACAATCGATGGCCCAAAACAGGCATTGGTCTTTCGCATGAAATGAGGGTGATAAAATGTGCATGTTCCGGTGGAGTTCTAAACAAGAGATAATAACAATAAAAATGGCCATAAAATTCCCGCCTGGCCTGCAACCTACCACAAACAGTAGAGGAACAGATGGAAAGTGAAGAGAAATGTGCTACTGTTAGTTTTCACCGGAATAAACTTAAACGCATTGATTCAGCATCCGGTTTAGACGAAGACTTGAATACCAAAGGCACATATTGCCACATCCTGTGGTATTCCATATTCCCGTTAGTCTGTCGGACGGGGAAAACGGTTGACGCGTCGACCTAGGATAAGACGATATTCATGTGCATGGGGTTGTAATCACAGTAAAGTCCTGTTTGGGAACGAAACCGCAGATGGGTGTCGGTAAAGTGGACTAGAATGTGAAAATTAGGTCCAGAAAGTTGGGTTGCCCACTCGCAAGGAGGTGGACGTCACGGGGACACACAGCTACACATGTGACAAAAACGGGAAACAACTGACACGATGGATGCCGGACGTTGAAAACAACAGTAAGTGCTATGCTTCAAAAATACTTAAAACTTCTTACGCTTCTTAGCCCGGATTCACCTAACTCAGTGGTATGCAGTTCACGCCGTCATTTAGGGAGATGCCTGTACTTGGTTTTATGCAGTGTGGAATTCCAAAACAACTAAGAAATGACAACGATTGTGGATAACCATTTAAAAAGGCGATCTGTCATGACATTCAACTGTTTTGCAGGTGTACACGGTCAACTGTTCCTCTTCTACCGACATTTGTGTTTTATAAGAACATTGGAGTACAATGCACCATTTTTTTTGGCCGCCAGGACTCAGGGTTTAAGAGGGCCATGGATTCGATTTATAGGTTGCAATGGCCGCAGCTACATACACATTTTGATAACTGGACTATGCTAGTTATGGGTGTTCCTTGGGTAGCTAGTCATGGTAGTGATGATAAAAAATAGGACATCCTTACAGGTATTATTGTTCTCCTGTCTTGCTCAAGCTACCTAAGAATGCTGGCATATCAGAACCGAAAGGAACGTTAACTTTGAGACGGCAGTATGTGAACAGAGTGGGGATGGGGGGGGGGTGGTGGCCGGAGCGTCTGAAGGAAACGATACGGGCAACTGACCGGAATACTTGGAAATTGTTCCAGCTCGCAAAGGCCATAGGCGACCGATGAGCCATCGGCTGTAAGCAGACGTTGTATGCGGATGTGGCGGGGATAATCATAAACCAGGGAGAGAGAGTACTCGCCCAACCGTTCAGCACTCTTGGATACACGCACAAGGAAGGTGCCATTTTCACAATTGGCAAGCAAGGAAACAGCTTCCGCACGGTCCATTTCACCCATGTACCTAGATGAAACACGGAAAGACGTAAACAGCACATTCCAAGAGTTTGAACAGCAATCATTGCATGAAGTTGTTGGTAAAACCCCTTCAGACTATTCACATACAAAGTCCTGCAGAAAAGAACAGATAACTCAAGTCACGCTGATCTGAGCACTCAATTGAAGCCAGCTAATCAGATTACCTGCGAACTTTCTAGGAAATCGAATCTGTACAAGGACCCCTGATCAAAAGTCAACCCACGAAAGGCAGTGGAATATCGGCATTCACAGAATTTCGCCTTACGGTATGTAGAAATTTCTGACAGGAGAACACCCTAACATATAACATCTGTTGAATATTGGGGATATTTTCTTTCGCGCACGACTTCTTATACAGGGTTGACAACCAATTCATGACCCAACGTGCCCAGGATGAATTTCCTAAACGAGCAGTAATATACCCCTCTAAAGAGATGCCACTATCCTATGGAATCTACGACAAAACTCTCCATTGGTCACGACGTAGTTTGAAATTCCCCCAAAGAGAAGCCACTCTGAAGGCAGTCGAAGATCCATTACTTTGTGATGGTGTATCTTTGTGTGTGTGTGGTCGGGGGTACTGCACTCGGTAGGAGACCTAAGCAGCCATTTGGCCATGTGTAACCGATCGGTCAGGTATGCACATCCTGTTGTAAGAAGACTGGCCAGTGAAAGTAGAGAATCACTGGGAGGACAAATGCATCAATGAGGGGGGATCAGACCCACTGTGCTCAAAACAAACCAACAGTGTTACAGCTGGACACAAACGATAAGGGCGGACCTACCAGTTGTAGCGACTGAGCGGATCATTGGGATCACTGACTTTTGATGGAAAAGGAGGAGTGCTTTCCGATTCGAACGTAACCCAGGACTCAGGTTTTGGGTGTTCGGATCTCATGCAATTCCCCTCACCCGATTCCCCGGCTAGACTGATGCGATTAGGCCAGGATCGCTGATTCGGAGTGACCGTGGCATTATGCGATGGAGAGGTTGTATAAACATGGGTGGATAAACGATTCATTTGCCCAAGTTCCATGGTAGACTGGAAAGACAAAAGCAACAATGAAGACGTACTTGACCGAATTCGATAGGAATTTTAACACACGAAATCACGGTTATCATCGATTTGACAGCAACCAGCCACAATTAATGTCAATGAGCAGCCATCATGCAATGGCATGTCATGTGGGCACCACCAGATTATACGTGAAAAAAGACATCTTGGGTCTCTAAAGGCCTTATTTCGAACATTTCGTTTCCAGCTGTGAACGTTTGTCTACGCACTGAACACGTGAAATTATTCTCAAGATCAGGTGAACAAAACCAAATGAGTGTATCAGAAGTACAGAAGCATCCGCGATAACAAGTATCTCCCCTAACAGTGGCAGCCATGAACTGGTGTGCGATTACCCCTACGAAAGATTCCTCGTTATAACGGATTCAATCCAGTTCTTTGGAGGTAGTACAAAAGCTTTAAAAATCCCGCCATGGATCTCAGTTGCGTCAACAAAACAATACTTGGGACCCACGAAAACACGAAAAAGCGCTTCGTATGAACCTGGGCTATAGGACTCTGGTGGGCAAACCGTGTTCTGGGGAGTAATGCCCCAACCTGGTCCCAAGTTAGTCAGAATATTCATTTAAGGATCCGACAGTCCAGTTATACTACGAGGAGAGTGGTATTCGTTCAGAGAAAAAGACAAATGCGCGGACGCATTTCCATCGGACGAGACCGAGTCTTCGTTCCAATGGCTATGAGGATGATTCTTCTCAACAGCACCCTTGTTTGTCTTCAACATTTCACATACAACAGAAAGCGGTGAATTATTGAAAATTGGTCGTAAAGCATCCGTCTGAAAATTCATAGCCACTTTTCGTATTGGTACGTCGTTCACGCGAAGCGATGCATCTTGTGCAAACTAAAAAACCAACGAGAAACGTATATCAACCTGAACAACATTCATCAGTGCCCTTGACCCTGTTAGAAACCAACCGACTAATTTCCGCACTCTACATGACTGCCCTGACCAATGTCGGGAGTAGCCGTGTTTACGAAGTATTTAGCCTAGAAGTATGTTTATCGAAAGGTTTTATTGTACCGTACGCTCAAATGATATGTTTTCACTAGAATGTTACTGAGGTTGAATAATCCAGTAGCTGGTTGCATCTTGAAGGGTGGTGGTGAGTCCTTACGCCTAGTCGATGCATGCTAAACTGTGTGTTCAGTTCTAATACCTCTAAGCTTCAAGTAGATACACTTCTCTCCTTCAGAGGGACTCTCCAAGGAGACCCACCAAAAGTGATCTCTCATAGGGGGGTGAGCTATGAAAGAAGCCTCAGGGGGTCAACACAAATACCCTTCTGAGTAATTTGTTGGAAGGAAGAGAGTAAAGCATAAATTTTGAATGTTAAGAGCCTCTTTTAGGGAAAACGTTGATAATAAAAAATAAACGGTTGCGTACGAACAAACACAAAAGAAGCCAGGTTATCTCGCTCCGTTATTGAACTCGAAATAGCTCAGTGGTTAAGACAAGAACTTACTCACCGGTAGGTTCGTGGTTCGAACCTAACTACGGTATCTCGACTGCTACTGTCTGGGATTGGGCCTCCTGGTAGTATCTCAGCCCTCAGGCTCCTTCGGGTGACATGGCAACTAGGAACCGGGTGTTACGTCTGAACGATTATTTTATTATTTATTATTGTTCTACAGTCAACGCAGACACCGAAAATTTTTGTGGGTTTGTTCGCCGAGCTAGACAACTTAGTTGCAAACTTCTCAAACGATAACCGAGGTGACATCAGTAGCGTGTCGTGATCGCCGTACAAAAACCGGCGCACCTCTCCGTAGGTGTACTTTAGACGGCAACAGTATAAGTGAAAAATACTAAGACGAATTTATGCAGTGAATGATCGACGATCAGAAAAAATATTCAAATCACCAGGGTAGTGTGCACAAAATGAATAGCTGCTTCTGTCTACACTGATCGGGTTTCTGTTCTACGAAACTGTTTATGGGGCAGAATCAGTAGCAAGGTTCCAGCATAAAGCCATCTAGCTCCCGTTCCCATGGTTGACGCCGGAGACAAAACGTAGACCATGCAGTTAACCGTCAGCCCTAAACGTGATGAGCTACTTTGGGACTGCACTGAGATTCGACAACGCCACTCCAAGCAGTGCGATGTTGGTACGGCGAGGTTGGACGGTATGGATTTAGGGGGTGTGTGTATAAGACACCCTAGTCGGCATCGGTGGATCGACTTGTAGAACCTAAAACCAGTGTTCTCTGACGCTGTAACTAGATATCCTGTCGTTCTCCCGTGCTTCCGGAATTCGTCGTGTGCACCAGTGACCATATACCTCGAGTCTTCGAAGAGCGTCATCAGGAAAGACCAGATCTCGCAGGTGCATGTTCGCACAAGTCAGCCGGTTGTACTTCACAGATGGCGCTTCGCTCAAAGGTTGATCTCCTTGATGGTACAAAGGAATGCGATTAAGCTGCATCGGTATTCGTGGCATTCTTGATGCGAAAACCTATTCCTTGCCCTGCTTGACAAGAGTGAAAGGTGGGTGGTGGAGCCGTTATTTTGGAAATGTTCTTTAAATCCGTAGGCCTGCCTATTGCAAGCACACATGTACTAGCCAGTAATTACAGTTCATCAGTTTTTGCCAAGGAAGCACAAGCAATGAATGACCGAATGAAGAGCCGCAAAGATATTCCCGCAGGACGCCAGAACAACTAAGCTTCATTGCATGGATGAAACACTCCGCTGAAACGGTAATCCACTGGAATTTACACGGAAACAGTGCCGAATGTCCCGAACTGGATACTATGCTCTCAGCTCCAAAACGAAATGTATTACCATGCCTGAAATTATCGTATGAGTTTAGCGTGCTACTGGCCATCGCGAAGTCACTTACTATGCTCCACAAACCGTCATCCTCAACATTTGTAATTGCATTCAGACCTTTCCAAGTAAAATACTCATACCCCGGTCTGCCAGATACCACGAAATCTATCATTCCATGTGTGGCTTCTAGGGCACTTATGTGAGCAGGAGGGTAACTTCGACCAAGGGTAGTGGCTATAGAAGCTCACAGACCAAACAAAGAAACGCAACAGGTCAACAGATCAACCGACCGATGTAGCACTGTATGAACATGGGGACTGCGTTCGAGATCCTGCTACACACACCTAACAGACGGTTACTTCGATGGGCAGAAGCAGCCTTCATTTGTGGAAACTTGAATCGCATGGAAGAAACAAGAGCTCCCCTGATCATTCAAAAGCTTATTTACCGAAAACCAAGCGTTTCCTTGGGGCTTTCATTTTCTGCTTATCAGGTTGACACAAAATACAGTTAGATGTGTCAACGTATCGCGCAAATATACGACCTGTGAGATACGTACGGGCGAATAAGGGGAGAAGACTGCTCCGCATACTCACCAATGCATCCCAAGTTGGTCACTTCATCAGCTGATCGTTTGTGGAGTTTATCGCATTCGAGCGTTTCACACACCAGACCTCCCACAGAACGGAATAAGTGCGTAAGCAGTGAATGCCTGCTAAAATTGTACAGTTCCAGTCGGTTTGTTCCACCTCATTTCAACTACAGTCGAAGAGTTTTCAGAAACCTTGTGAGCAGTTCTTCTACTAATTCGCGCCAATTTTTTCGGAGATTTTCCCATCGCCCCACGCACATGGTTTTAAAAGATAGCACTGAGCTCTGAAAATAGGCACATCAAAAGGCGTCATTTAATTTTCCAGTCTAGATGCTCGATAACAGTTACTCAGCGAACGCGGCTTGTGTGATAAAAGCACATGAAAGATGAGAAAGTTGGAAGCCAGATTTGCTTTCTTCATGTGGGTATTCTAATGACGTCAAATCGAAGTTCCCATGAGGATCGAGGTTTGTTGTGGTTCTAGTATTTTTCTTCTACACATGCCCCAATAGAACAAACTACCACACACGTTGTCGCGCCATCTCGCTCAGCTGTTATGGTTCAATCAGACGGTATTGCGAGTAGTTGGACAATTTAGGAGGACAATGTGCGTCAAGCACTATTAGCACGAGTTGATTCTTGGATGAGCGCCCCCTCGTGGAGATGTTTCAATCAGAGAGACTCAATTAAGACCGAAGATCGTCTACACATCTGTGCATTCCTCTCGAAATAGGCATCACTCTACAAACCGAGCAACCATATCACTGATACTGAGATAAATTTATTGCGGAGGGCAGATTACATTTCAGTGACGATTGACGTCAAGAACTAGCTAACCAACTGCGTTTCATGACGAGTCAAAACGGACTGACGAAAAAGGATATTTGCAGCAGTGAGTGACTCAACCACGGGGTAATCCTAGCAAGTTTGTAAGTCGCTCCAAAATGTCAACGGGTGATTGTAAAACTGAACCTAGGGGGATGCGACGAAACCTCTCAAGCCTTTTGTTTTCAAACATCCACTGACGACGATGCTGGGGTATGTAGATGGAATATTCGATTGGCCCTTGGAGCATAAACAGACTTTAACACTGTGAAACCACAGAGTAGCCCAATTCACTAACCATGTTGGTCGGTTATTTCTAACTATTCATGATCCTCGAAGAAAATCCAGTAGGCAACAAGATGATAGAACATCAGGTACGTTAACAGACTCATGTAGATATTTAGGGGAGACGGTATGCATAGAATCACTTTTGCCAGGTCAGAGCTACTGCATAAAAACAACCTAGAGGGAAACATGGGACTATTGAACTGAATGGGGTACGCTGTATTCACTATTACGACAAGACCTATTCCAAACAGATGAGAAGGGGAGGTAAGCAAGCAAAAAAATTGATTGCATGATCAATCCAGTCAGTTTCTGATCAAAGAGGAGCGAGCGCTAGTGTGTTGTACACTCGTTCGAGATGGTATGCGCGGGGAGCAAGCGGACCTGACTTCTGCTCTTAATATAGCAAAAGCGATCAAATTGGTTGATCAGGAGGGGTATTCAATCAGATTAGACCTGAACTACGACTTCTCGATCGTGTAATACCCTGATAGGCAACAAGAATAAGTTACCATAAGGTAGTATGACAATACCGAACTTCGTGGCCAGTGCACAGGCTGACAGCTCTAACAAGGGTGAAACAACAGACCATTAGATCACACAGATTGCATTATACATACATATATATGTATATATGTATATCAAGAACAACAACGGGTAATCTATATGAGATAGTGCCTAAAATCACGGCATAGTGAAATACGCATCTCATGAAGCCCCATGCTGGGAGAGACAATCAGACCGGACCACGAATATCTGCCTCAGCGAATTAATACTGACACCGCCAAGCCGAGGTAAACGACCGCGTTTCTATGAGCAATTTTACTGTCACAAAACGAAGCGAAACAGCCAAAAGCCACCCGATGAGTGAATGGAAACGCATACTCCGTGAAAAGAACAGGCAGTGTGAAAATACAAACATATGAGTGCAGTATAGCTTGCCTAGTAACTGGTACGTTCAGACAGGAATGTACTTTCGACTGGCCGTCTGGTTTGGAGTTGATGAACCAGCGCCCTCCAACATCACCTCAACCATGCTTAGGAGCGGTGGCCAGGACCCCAGTTCAAAACTGGGTCTACCTGATGATGAGTGACAGGTTCACCGTAAAGCTGGGCGGAAATAATTCGGGTCTTAAATCCTGATAACTACACATTTTAGTTCCATCTGCTCATGTCTTCATGTGCAAGTGTAGGTAAAACTAATAAATGGGGTACAGGCTTTTACACGAAATGTATACTGGGTTAAAACCGCTGTCAATCACAACTAAGGCAGTGTAGACACACAGATAACTCGCATTTAACCCTGAACAGTGAACCAGTGAGATTTCAAGAACCCACTGGATGACAACTAGGTAGTGCCCACATGTCTTGTTATCACAGATACACTGAGCGAATAGGAGGCAAGATCCAATCTGTGTCGTGATTAGCTGTCTCATTTCGTGCTTAGACCTACCTTCCTTCATGATATGGTACTAGTTATAAGGTCGATGAAAACTTACAAGCAGGGGACTTCGTTGAGTCTCCTGTTAACACTACACCAGGTCACAAATGAGTGCCTGAGGAAACGTGCGAATTCACGACCAGGAAAACAAGATGACGAAGGATAGTAGGAAAAGTCAACCGCTGTTCGGTTGGATGGCTTTTCTTATCACTAAGAGGGTTCCACCGTTAAGATGATAACCCGGCGGGAACAATGATATTGAATGCATCCGAGCCAAAAACGAAGCGATGCACCTTCGAAGTGAAGAGATGTACACTTACTTGGTGCGATACTGAGCGTGCATAGCGTGGTTGAATTTGCTTGAAACGGACGAAAAATGTAAGCACAATTCGAAAAGTTTGGTTGCACCGGAGAGACATGGATGAAGACACAAAGCATTCCACATCGACATACAACTACAAAGATCTCCGGTTTATCAAGACCAATCGCTATAGTCAATCCGTGCTCTTCTTGTGCACCTCTAGGACAGGCAGTACCTGAGAAAACCTCTTCAGTGATAAAGCCAGGATTATCAGGTTAAAAACGCGAAGCAGACACGTGGTGCTTAGTTAGTCTAGCTTGGGGAGTAAGGCAAATATCTCCAGTATCACAAACAATAGCAGTAATATGCATAGAAGTTTGAACTTTCTTAAATAACTCCCCAATTCAGTTCGTTGTTTGACGTCTGGAGAGATAACATCTATCTGCGACGTTGAGTCTGATTTGTGCCACATCGTGTAGGGTGCAAAACGATCCAGCAAATAAACATTAACCGTTGCCACGCAGTACTATAAAGATCATCATCACCATCATCCTCATTAACAGCATCGACATCAGTGTTCGACGCTAATGTTTCACTGTCGCAACTGCTTTTGACTGTAAAAAACAACTAAACGGCTGTACGGTGCTCTTCAACGGTGTTGGCGAATCTAATCTCTGAAAAAATTATTCCTATATTCAGAGAAGATTGGTAACTCGATGGCCGAAATTTCCTACGCGATATCCGAAAAATACTCAATCTGCGACGGTACATCTAGCATATAAACTACAGGCTCAAACAACTCGAACACCGAACCAAGTACTAACAACCGATCATCCGTGTAGGTCTGAGATGTAGATGGATAACATCAAGCTGTACAATGTCTCCACCACCCGTTAGAGAAAAATTGATGTTTCAATGCTGCGCTGCAAGACCAAGTGAGCCGGAATCCTCTGGCAGTGCGTACAGTGTTGTTGGGAAGTTGAGAGTCGAGTAACCTCGTTGTAACAAAGCGCAAACAGGTGTAATGACACCGATTTACAAAATCATAATAGTTGTCGAAATGGAGAGCACATTACCGCACTGTGAACAGCCAAGTGGACTATACACGGAGACATAAGGTACTCATTAGCCCTCGAACATGAGCAACGTATGAATGGGATCTTTAACACCACTCCATCCGACACTACAAACAAAGTTGGGGTTGTCAGTATGAGCTACGGCTCATGGTGTACAGCGCACAAATTCGTGTAGCTGAATGTACAAATGTGGGAGAACATCGGAGTGGGTCACGTGAAAGTCGCAAGTATCAGTCACATGTACGAACACAGTGAACGAAGAAACAAAACGAGTGTTAGGCTGACACTCTGAAAAAAACCTTAATTCGATCACAAATGAATTGTCCTTTAACAGGAGTTTTTTTGTACAGTAGCTTACCCGATGGGGTCGGAGAGACAAAGGTTCGAGGATGTGCGCTGGAAACCAACCTTCGAGACCATTGCACCGGCCCTGTCGGACGAAGGTGGGTGGAAAAAGCGAAGACAAATATTGGAAGTGAAGGGTTAAAACAGACAAATTAAGGTACGAGGATTAATGACAACAACATCAATAATAACAATGGTGTTCGTGTGATTCCGAAACCAATATTTAATCAAGGACCTCCCGACCACGCTACACCTCACTGCATCCATTAAATACTTAATAAGAGGCATGCTGTACTCAGTGGGTCATTTGACTGCTCTGAGTTGGCCTCTAACCTCTAACCATCAGCCAATTAAGTTGCCAACGAACAAGCTCCGTTGCCGGTTGTCAATAAACGATTTCCGTTTTGGTGGTCATCGCGACGCGTATTTATCAAAAAACCCAAAAAGCGTCATTCGCGGGAGAAAAATGCGCCACGTTGATGCGATTGATGGGGGCCCATCAGCCTCACAATGCTCTTAGCTAGAAAAAATTTAGGAGGGAAATAAAACTTCTTGCGTCAAAATGTTGCATTTTGTTGAATATTTTCGCGGCTCACCAAATTTCATCGTTCACTAATTCAATCATACATCTGGCGGAATACTTTCCCAGTATCGCCGAGACCCCGGGATGCCTAGACGGGGCTCAAAAGTTTGGGCTGGCACTCTGAACTCACTTGCCTGTCTGCTTTGGTCCATCGGGCACGCGTCGTAGCTTTCAAAAATTTAATTCCATTGTGCGAATACTGAGCGCCCAATTGATGAGTTTTACATCTAATACTTCCAAAATGTATCGCCAAACCTCTTGTTTCGATATTAATTACTATCTGCCAGCTCGGCCGTGGGCTAGCAAATAGGACCAGGGTCCATTCGCAGACCTACCGGAACGGACCCTTTACAAGAAACTCTACGAACTCTCATGTTCTTTAGTATTCTATCTGGGCCGGGTCTAGTTTGGATGGTCACTATTTGTCTGCTGCTGTACATAGTAATGTCTATTGAAATGGCGGAAGCAGAAAATCGAACCCAAAAATTCATGAATATTGTTTGATTCGACACACATGCTGCTGTTGGGTTATCCACGGTTTAATCATTTATTAGAAGTGTCAGTGAGCGTTTGTATTTTGATTCACACTTGCTTATACGAGCTCAGTGATTGGAATGTATGATGTCCCACCGCACTATTAACGTTCGAGTGAAGCAGTTCGGAAACGACAATCCTCGGTTGAGTGGTGACTGCTTGAATCACGTAAGAAAACGGCACTCGATGGAACTCCAAACTCATTCAGTGTGCAACGATTTGCAAGATTAAATTAGCCCAATGAAGCATCTGCCGAATTCGCGATTGAATGATGAGTTGTCACAACCCCGAACTGGGCAGATTACGTGACCATATGTGCGATTAGCAGTCGGTAACCGAATCGCAGCAATCAGCTTTTAATCGGAAGGCCACGGGTCCGAATCTCCACGACGATTCGTGAGATGCGCTCTGCTTGAGTATATTAACAAGAATGGAGCCACCACACGAAGCCTCTCCGTTTTTAGCAAATGCTGTCTTTACATTGCAAGACTTCGAAATTCCGTAGACAGTATGAAGTCATCAAATGTTTATCAAAAGCTGCAGAAATTAGATAATAATGAATGCGAACACTGGAAGAAATTAAGGGAGGGACTAATCTCGAAGTGAGAGGGTGAGATACACAAACGGTTTCTGTATGGGCCCGAACTATCGACCAGGAGCTTGTCAGAGTGCGGAGTGACCACGCTGATGATGAATCAATTGGAGTAACCGAAGGATATCGGTATCGACCAGGAGCTTGTCAGAGTGCGGAGTAACCACGCTGATGATGATGACCACTGCTACAGGTTCCAAAGATGTGCGCTGCTAACAGATATCAACAAGGACGAAATGACTAAACAGTGCCTCATGGCATGTTAGCACGTATTGACTTCACCTGCAAAATGAAATTTCATTCCAAAAAAGAGCCTCAGCGAATAAACATCATGGAGTGGAGGCTTTTTGGCCTCAAAGGGTTCTATCTTTAGGGGTCTACTGTCGTAGGAATAAGAAGCAAGTTAGAAACTGAAACATAAAAACAGTAAACTAAGCCATCCTACCAAACACAATATCAGTGGGAAGAAAAGAGCTATTGGCGAAACATTAAATATTCGGACATGGGAAACCAAAGGATTTTTCATGCACAGGCCTTCGATGGTAAGACATGTATGATTGACACCGAAGAGATAAAGCAGTTACCAATGATCGGCATTGATCGATATTTCTCCAAGTAACCGCCTAAGGATTGTTCAAGAAAAAATATGTTCGAACTTCAGTTCTGCCGATACCAGAAAGCCTTAAGTGGAACATCGTCAGAAGTTTAATGACCCAGTGAGCGAAAAGAGTGGGTCAGTATGATTACCTTCAAAGTATTAAAAGGACAGTGCAAACTAAAGTCAATCTTGATAGGGATATCTGGTGAGGTTGTTGAAAACCACACACAAGCGCGTGAGGGACCTTGAGTTTAACCACAAGGAGCCATAAACTAGACGAATTGGTTAGTTTCCAGTCACCTATTGCAGAGACGGAAGCAAGTTGAGTAAAACGAAGATCCCAAAAATTACTGGAGGAACTTGGCACAGTCGTGAGATGAAAACAGGTAGATATCGACGGTATGATTCAGATTAGGTGCTCGGTTTTTATGTAGCAACAAAGATTATGCATGCAAAGGAAAATTCATAGTTCAGTTAACCCTGGACGAGTGAAAATAACTATAGAACAAAGTTGCTATATCAAATTGGAGTTTAGTATGCAGTGCACAAAACTGTGACTAACTGAAGAGTAAAGTCATGTTCCGGAACAAGGGCAACAGAGTGTTACCCGTTAAACGTGCGAAAGATGACGATATGCCTAAAGGGTGTGAATCCAAAGCATGAAGGGAGCAACAGCCCAAAGGCGATATTAGGTAACGATAACGAGTCCAGGAGAGAAAGAGAGCACTTACTCGACACCATGCACCATCATCTGACCAATGTAGTATCTCCACTTGATCACCCACGACAAGCGAAAGTGCCGAATCTAGAATGGGCGGATTGGCATCGGCCGAATAGGCTTTACGTACGGTGACAGTAAGTGGAGGATTGACGGAATGCGGTGAACTGTTGGAAGCAATCAGAGTTGATGTGAATCGGCGAAAATGGACCGGAGTGTGGACCGTCGTTGGATCTGCAGAGGCTAAACATTGATTTACCACCGATACGGCATCGGTGATATGGGAAAGATCATTGGATGTAGAATGAGCTACGACGGGAAAGCCGGATAGGGAACTCCGTGCTGTGAGCGCCGACGTCGAAGCAGATGAGGCCAGATGTGGCGATTGTGGGAGGTGGCGACTGCGTAAAGTGCTGAATTGAGATGGCGGTAAGGGTGGAGGCTGAGTGAGGCCAGAGGTGATTCCGTTCATAAGTGGACTAATGGAAAGGTTGGCGGAAAGAGCCGGCCGTCGTATGGGGAGATTGTTTGAAGCGAGACAATCCTTGTGAGCGGCGTAACCCGTCTCTAAATGGAATGGAAGAAGAAGGGGTCTGGTTAAGCTTATCTTTGAGCGACACTATAAATAAACTATATAGAAGCTGTTGAGCAGAAAATCCGAGATATACATGATGTAGCAGTGTAGACAAAGGGCTCACAGGGGGTACTCGAAGGACAATACGGCATTGGAGTGGTGAGCATTCAATGCACTTATGTGCGATATTTGTACGTTATCATTAGGCGAAGTGGCTGATCTCACTTAGACGGAATGCAGCGCCACTGTCTTTCACTCTTCACGCCCAGTGCTCTCGTGCCTACTGGACCCTTAAGCAATCGATTCCAATAGAGAAACCGCGTGCGAATTATGAAACGTTTTCAATTCAGAGTAACCTTTCAATCGTCGAATGTGAGACAACATACGTCTACAGGAAATTCTGTTGATCCCAGTAGATCATTCGAGATTTCGTTAAGCAATCTAACCTTGGGGACATTATCAGTCGAAATGGAAAAAATCAGTTTTGTGGCAATAGAAAAGTGGGATTCAAAACATTATCCTGGCGTGGTATTGCCTTGGATTAACCTAGTGTACGCGTACATGTATTAGTATTTGCCCTTTCCAGCGTTTTCTTCTACATAAGTGGGGTACTCTGTTGTCATACAACTTCACTGGGGGCCTCAAGCAGTTCGTCTTAGTAACTGGAACGCGGTACAATACTGTAACTGGGTGAATCAGATGGTACTATATACCCCTATGAATCTACCCGACTCATGAACGGAAGAACGCGTACAGATCACACAGCCATTCAAGAAATACTACTTGTTGCACTTGGAAGCTCGAAGGCTAGACGTTCCTCCTTAGCGAGAACCGAATGGTGCTGGATAGATTGACCGGTCATCATGGTAAAAAATGTTATAAAAAGTAAGCATTAAGGTGACATACAGTCCGATGGCGGACACGCTATTCAACTCCTAGTTCCCAACGGAACGAGTATTATACAGCAACTCTCGACAGTGAAATGCAGCAGGCTCTAAGTCATGAGTAAAAAGCAACATATTACACTAACAAAGTGATATCGACCTATCGAAGTAAACATTGGGTTTTATAAATAGCATTTCTAGCAAAACGCCCAGCTGTCAAATCATATCTCACTAGAAAATAGCGAAACAAACTGCTTCGCGGATAAGATTGTACGTTGGCGTCCATTAAGATGGGTGTCAGTTTCACGTACTGTCGAACCCTAGGACAATTAATCATTGTAGTAAGCGATGTGGCTTCGCTAGATTTCGACTACAAAGAGGGTGAACCGCAAGGGTAAACGTGCACGTGCACGTAACACTCGTAAAAAATGCCCTAATTTACAGCTACGGATCAGGCGACAGTGTGCACAGAGTTAAGCACAATTGTCCAACAACCAGGCAGCAACAGAGACAAAGATTACCCGTACCCCAAACGGGGACCTAAATTCGCGCATTTTTGAATTCGGTTTCAATGGCTGTAAAGCCGTACAAATAACACTCTGATTCTTGTGTGAACAAGGTTTACAGTGAGGATGAATCCATTTGGTCTTTACGGAATTATCTGGTCTAATGGATTGACAATACCACACTAGCAGATTCGGATGCATTCTTAGTGAGCCAAGAAAACACCATCAATGGCACCTGAGAACCTTGTACTGCATTAGCGACTATAAGGAGTATATTGTTTGCATGTGTGAACTCACAGTGATGCTATATACACTGAAACGATGATTAAGTGAAAACCCGAAACCTTTTGTCAGGCAAAATACATATCTGGTATTTGAGCATGGTATCCACACAAGCCCATTATCAAAGCGTACCCGGTAAGATCATCAACAGTGGAAATATTGATACTAACTACCAGCGCTTAACTGTCATACAGTTCGGAGGAGAGAATGTCATGATAAGTCGAAAATCAACACCGAAAAAAAAACATTTGAGGACCAGCACGATGTCATCAACGAGTTTGGCCATGTAGTCTCTAGAATTTCACGGAACACAAGCTCAGTATACAGCAACGGATAATAATTGACTCGGCCATTCAGTTATGGGGTGACAGAACAACTACCATAGGAGTTGGTTACGTTCTATGCCACACAGCCTTTGCATCCACATGGATCCACGTGGATACCATTAAAGAGAGCGAAGAACCCAATCTGACAGTAAAGGATCTATTTCCTGTGAATCTGTTAACGACTAGGGTTGGGAGTAGGAGACCCTTGTCTGGGTAGACGCTGTACATGTTGCACCATCAACCAACATCAGATACGCTTTACTTGCCACACTGGCGATCTCGATCTGTTGCAATGTGTTAAATCCCACAATGATTTTCGCATGGTTCTTTTTGGAGATTAGGATCAAGGTCAATCAAGGCGCTCCTTTCCACACGTATTCGCTTTTAACTGCAAATCTTCCGTTGCACGATAATCATATCATCACCTTGTTTTAAAAAGGTGGGATGCGGGCTATCCGAGCAGGATGGTGTCTTGTCGCGCGGCAGGATTTCTAGGATGATGGGGCTGGTTTCAGTGTTCAATACAAGTTCATTCGACCCATCGCTCAAGATTTCTCGAACGAATTCCCGTTTCATCTTTGTCACGAACTGTTTCGATGACATCCTCTCCATTTAGCCTATTGGAAAAAACAGCTGAAATAAGGTACAGCTGTTGCCTGTGGCATAAACTATCTTCTGGATCTTTACAATCCACGAGTATTCTCTATCGTTGCTGAGACTCTTCCTTATCCGGCGTTTTTGAGAGATCTGCGGGTGCCTTCGTAACCGATGGTCGCCGATCTCGACTATACTACTAGCTCGGTCATTTGGATATCCAGCGTCTTCACGCACAGTATCATCACTTTCTATCGCATTCTGACTTTTTTTAAGACAGCAGAAATCGCTACTTAAGTCATTTTAGAACATTTATAAGAATCATACCGAGTATAAAGCTAGTACCGTTTCGAACGTTATACCGTAACAAGCCAGATTACGTGAACCATCCGTATTGAACTTCTCACCACTCAGTCCCCCATTCAGCCACTGATGGCATCAAATGGCGTTATTCAACCTATTCATCCTGTTGTGAATCCGATTGTCTCCAGCCTGTTCATCCTTCCTGATCTCGTATAGAAGGAAGTGCAACAGCACTTCTGTTCCCTTTCTCTCTCCGCGTAGATTCGAATGTGGTGTTTACTCAGATGAATACTGCACGTAATGGCTTTCTCCTCTTCCTTTCGAATACTTCTGCTTGCATTCATCCAGATATTTCTCATGCTGTTTGCAGAAGAGTGTGGAAACAAACCTGCTATGCATTGATCACGCGATTTTATCCGCCATGCCCCTGTTTACGAGACGGAAGGAGGGAAATCACGTGTCCTCTGTTTGACTGAGCTCATGCCAGATAAACACACGCGTAATGTGCCACTGGTTTGTTTTAGATCACTTGATAGGCAACTCATCACCTTCTGAGTTGTGGACTCTGCAGCAAACTTGGTGTTTCAGTTAGATGCCAATTTTGGATTCGTATTGCAAGAAAATTATTACGGAATAATTCTTCCCTGAAGCGACTTGAGGAGAAAATTACGCAACTGTGTGGATGTAACGCGAATAACCCCATAACAGCCCAACGGAAATTGAAAATGCGTCTGTTGTAATGATATTAGTCTCGCCGGCATTCCGCTGTAATGATACCGAAGAGATACTTTTGCAATATTATATTTCAGCGAGTAAAGTGGAGTAAGTCAACCAGAACCTCCGAGGAATTCGCAAAGAATTCAGGCTTCAAATCAATGACCAAGGAATTGGTGTCATGTGGAAAGTAATCGCTCCAGATTGTTGTGCTGCATGACTGTAGCGAACCAATTTTTCGACCAACTAACCACAACCTTCCAGCGAGACTCAACAGCGACGATAGATCCATAGAATCGACTGGATGAGATCGCCTGTGTCAAATTGTCAATGAAAGGTTGTCTATTGTCATGCGTGTAGTACATGGTGCACTTCACGCAGTAGAGACTAAGATGAGACATTCAACTCGTAGCATTTATTCGCGTGGCTTAAAATTGGCCTAAGTTGCAACCTGTGCGTATTTCGATTGTCGGGCGTGGATAGCCGGATTTCTTGGGGTTTGTAAAGCACAGAGCCAAATTTCGGGAAAAATAGGAAGGCAACTCAAGCCTGATACAAGAGAAACCTCCATTCGTAAGAGATGCCTAGTGAAGTTCGTAAACCAAAAGCCATAACAGATGCTTCCAAATCGAGTGAAGCACTCACCACGACAACGGTAGCCCTGATAGAAGATTCCCTGGAGAAGCTTGTTGCAAACGCAACAGTAGGTTGGCTTCTGGAAAGTATGCATTTCGAAGTTGTAGCCTTTGTCTTTGGCACCAGGAGGGAAAAGATTGGAGCTATAACAGAGAAATTGCGAAAGTGAAGACTGGGAAAATGACATCTTTTCAATCGCGACAAAAAGCCAAGTACTAGCGTTCTTGCGGCAGACAGGAGACATGGCCGTTGAGAAAATGTAAGGATAGTGGTTCAAAAAAGAACGACCAAAAGGTGGTAGTGGATTCGAACGTCCGATACAAACTACGGTGCACGAAATAACACTAGAACCAGCATGGACAGAAGAGAGCAAACCGTCCGGTTATTAAATGTGGTGACCTGAACTACGCGTTCATATGTTGAGCACCAAACCGTGTTGAATGCAACTCGGTGTGCAGTACCAAGTAGGTTCAAAGTGAAAGTTGACGTGATTGATTGTTGTCGGGTCGTACATTGACGACAGGGTTAACAGTCGGTAAAATTGGCAAACCGAGACATGTCAAACAGGTTAGGTCTGCTAAGCTTCGCAATTGACTGATAACGCACATTTAAGCGTGACTCAACACGTCAGATGACTGCCGCAAAGACTTGCTCTAGATGGTCGTTGGCTTGTTCGCTGAGCTGGGCACTTTGACTGCAAACGTTTCACCACCAATCGAGGTGACATTATCAGTACGTTGTTGGAGAGCGTAGTGGTGGGTTAGTGGTTGTGATGTCACCTCGATTGGTGATGAAACGTTTGCAATCAAATTACCCAGCTCAGCGAACAAGCCAGTGACCACAATCTACGCTATCTGAGCTGCCGACATTTTCCTCTATAGAAAAGACTTACTCTAGTTAATAGATTGCAACAATCACTTGTTCAAGGTAATTGTGATGGCAAATTGCAACCTATGAGCCCCATTATTCTTGATGAATCGAGTTAACTCGTTGGGAATCCCAAAATCTGAAACACACAAAGGGACAAGCTCCCGAAACTAATATGTTCTCAGCATGATCCTCGAACTGTGGTGTGTGTTGCATATGATATTCGACAAGTCTGTCCCCCTACAGGTGATGGAAGTTATGGTCAAAAGGTGGGGAATACCAGTAATGTTGATGTGAAAAGCCCATACGATCCTTCCAAAATTCAACCAATGACGTTGGAAGATGTGGCTGCTTCATTGGAGCTCTTCGTGTTTTTTTTTGGATCTACGTAGTCCAACTGTTACAGTGCATGTGCGCCTAGATATACCTGCGGTGCTCAGGATTATTCTTCAGTTTTCGCTCCACTACTTCAGTAAGATCGATTTTCTAACGGAAACCATCTTCCAGCACGACGTACTGATGCAAACCGCTATGATAAGGGATGGCATTCGGCTCAAATGATATTACTCCTATCCTTTCTAGCTTCAGAAATATGGAGCTAACCAAATGAGAGTCGGTGACAGGGAGTCCTTAAGTCAAGGCAGTTTGTGTATACAGTGAAATAGGAATCTGAAAAAAAATCGGAAAGCGACATACATAGCTGCCTTGATAGCGTTCAACCAGGTTGTTCGAATTTCAGCCGATTTGACAAAGAACGTCATTTCCGCAGCGGTTTCGTGTCCAGAGATTGGTAGTGTAAATCCGAAACAGTACTGCAAAAAACGATAAGCATTTAGGTTACAAGTGTTTCGCAAACTGGGCACCAAATATGTGGGAAACGACGAAATGTGATGCAAACGTACACTGCGTGGCAAACCAAAGTGACACATGGGGGAGAGTGAGTGGATCATATCACATTTTGAAGATTCATCGAATTGCAACTGAAGAAACGTAAATACAGAGCCTCATTAAAGAAATAGTAGTAAAATCAGTTTAGGTCTACGAAGTTTTCCGAACTAGGCTTGATAATCTCCTCCAAAATAAAACAGATTCAAAATGTGCTGGGTGCTGCCTGAGGACAGTTGATGGCAGGAGTTCAGGTAACACTGAGTAACCATGTTTCACTATCCTATACGGAGCTTGGACCCAGTGCACTGAGGGTCCTAAATGATTACTTGAACCGAAACCGTGGTCACTGGCCCGTAGTGAATAGTGGACTTCGAGCCTTACCCTTCTCCAGGTGCCATTGGACCCAGTGCACTGAGGGTCCTAAATGATTACTTGAACCGAAACCGTGGTCACTGGCCCGTAGTGAATAGTGGACTTCGAGCCTTACCCTTCTCCAGGTGCCACCCTCAAACTACGTACACCCCCCCCCCCCCGTGATACAGAAAGCAAAATTCCTACTATCCCCAGCTGCAATAGATGAATTAAACAGGGTACCGATGAATCGAGCTGAGCCCGATTTAAAGCCAGGGGGAGTTTGTTACCAACTGCATGTGCGCGGCCAGCCTACAGAAGATATTCGAACTTTCGAGCAGCAACGAAAGGCAACGTCTCCGTTGTCGCATTGTATAACCCCACTGAGCGTAGTTTGGATGTAGCCAAGGCCGAGTTCTACCATGGATTAAACAGGGCCTTGCGCACAGTTCACTATATTGATATGGAAACCCAAGTAAAGGATATGAACACAAAGAAGAGACGTCAGCCCATCAGTGAACGTATACTGGGCAGCAGTTGCTGGACACTCACCGGAACTGCAATAGACACACCCTTGCAACCGTGGGTGTCTCTCGCACCAGTACACCATACGGAGACCAGTTTTGTCGCGCCAATTCTCGACAGAAACTGACCGAGCTGCTCTCAGGCACCATAGGCGCGGAATCTTGATGAGTTGTAGAGTGCTACGGAGCGCTTCTTAAACACAGACTATATCTTTGTACTGAATTTCCTCGATTTTGTGTGGTTTCTAAACGTCTGTCGACGCGAATAGATGAAACTAAAGCGTGTGGATCACGAACCATTCAGACAACTTGCCCCACAGCTTGCGGAACTCTCTTAGTATGGACGTTGAATCCCACTTGGAGTGCATTTATCATGTCATGACGGAAGCTGTAAATGGTTATTGTGAAACCTCTACGTCACCAATAAGCTATTGGATCTAAACTTGTAGCCCAAGAGCAAAAAGATAACTCAGAAGGGAATTCATACACCATGCTACTAGGGACCAGCTATGGGTATCTTAATGAGTCCTATGTGTCATGGAAATGAAAGTCACATGTCCGTCTACAGTTCTGATATTTCCAAGTATGCAGGCAACGCTTGGCTCGATCACCAGAATAGCTCTATGGGTTTGTCTTGCAAAAGTTATTCCCCAGAGGTACATGAATGACCACATGGCTGGCTGTTGATCAGGCGGCTGTTGATCTGTTCACCATCCCTGACAATTGGCTTGCAAGCGTTTGATTACCAAGCAGACCAGTTGTCGAGCTCGGTCAACAAACGAACGGCCACTTCCATCGGGTGACATGGAAGCTAGGCACCGAAATAGTGCTGTAGCTGAATGGCTATTATTAGTAATATTATACTTATCCGAGCCACCAATACTTCGACATATTATCACTGCGCAGCTACTTATTCCCGTACACCGAGATAGGAGGCGTACGAAAAAATTGTCATCAGCTTTTAGTACATCAAATCCTGTTCGAAGGATATCCCCTCCAACCCCTCTGCTTAGCCTTGCCCGGAACGATACCCTTGAGACCGTACCGATAGTACCAGGAACCGAAGTATATTGACGATATCGCAGAATGGCAGCGAAACATCAGTGTTGAACACTGATGTCATACTGTCGATAATGATGATAATGGTGATATCGTACTGTCTTGTGAAGAAAAGTGAAGTACCCAGTTTCTGACAGGAAATTAGGTCCACATCCTGAACCAGCAAAGGCGATCCTACATAACACGCAGGAGGTGTGGTTATACCAACGGAACATGGTGATCCTTTTGAAGTAGTCAAGAAGCACAACTATCTAGGCGGCAATATTGACAATGCAGTGTTCGCCAACTTCAACAATTTCTGGAAGCGATCTGATGTCACTCGCACGCATCGGTTTGTGCATCGCTTGTCACTGAGTTTGAGAAAGTTAGTTTACATGTGCACAGAAAACCGACAGATTTTTTTGTCTTGACAACTGATGCTTTCGTCGTATTGCAGGTGTGCACTAGCAGCACCGAGTCAGTAAATGACTTTTAGCAGAGGGAGCGACGGATTGTCGGTTAGTTCCCGTATCTCCCAAAACCAGCTGCGATGATCGGAACAGGTGCACAGAACGACAATTTGGGGACCTCACTGACAGGTTTGATGGGTTAGACGAAAACGGACATCAAGTAACTGGTGGATGAAGAGTCTCAAACAAGGATTTAGTTCGATAGGTAACTTGAGGATTTCCAGTTGAGGGCTCGAAGACGACACACGTGTGCGGTAAGGACCAATATGGGATGTGACACAAAACAAACCAATGGCGCCAATATCGATAGTCTTACTGTGCGAGCGAAACAAACTAACAATATCATGTCGAAATACGTTAAATTTTGAAGTCGGTTTGTGCATCGCTTGTCACTGAGTTTGAGAAAGTTAGTTTACATGTGCACAGAAAACCGACAGATTTTTTTGTCTTGACAACTGATGCTTTCGTCGTATTGCAGGTGTGCACTAGCAGCACCGAGTCAGTAAATGACTTTTAGCAGAGGGAGCGACGGATTGTCGGTTAGTTCCCGTATCTCCCAAAACCAGCTGCGATGATCGGAACAGGTGCACAGAACGACAATTTGGGGACCTCACTGACAGGTTTGATGGGTTAGACGAAAACGGACATCAAGTAACTGGTGGATGAAGAGTCTAACAAGGATTTAGTTCGATAGGTAACTTGAGGATTTCCAGTTGAGGGCTCGAAGACGACACACGTGTGCGGTAAGGACCAATATGGGATGTGACACAAAACAAACCAATGGCGCCAATATTGATAGTCTTACTGTGCGAGCGAAACAAACTAACAATATCATGTCGAAATATGTTAAATTTTGAAGCTGGTATCAGAAGACTTTGGAGTTAGCATTAGGGCAAAGACGTGGATGGTGTGCGCATGCTCTGCGAGGCCCCACGGAACTGTCACACTGGACAGGTGGACATTGCAGAACGACAGTTAACTGTGTCACACTGGACAGGTGGACATCGCAGAACGACGGTCCGGGGACGCTAAAAAAGAACACTGCAGTTGATCGCTATAGAGACGAGACTGAATTTGACTAAAACTAGGGTTCGCTATCACTACCGGATGGCAGGTCCCACAGTGTGAGCAATGGCCTACGGGGAATGTGTTAAACAAGTAGTCGACTGGTGAAGGTGACTAAGGTTCATTGGTAACGAGATTTAATTAATGAGGGTTCACACTCCTCTCACGAAACACTTCAACCGAAACTGCATTCAAGGTGATTGCACTCATTCCCAAAGGCTGACGTTCGTGGTGGTATGCAAGCTGGAATACTTTCAGGGTGCTCACACCTAGACGAGGGGACGATTAAGGTCCTCAAACAAAACCTTTTGCTCAAAAGCCTGATTGCCAGGTAGCAGGTGGGTGCCAGCATACTGATACAGTAGTATACGTTTATTAAGGGACAAAGTGCCGTGCCTGTCCCGCCCTTAATTTGGGAAACCAGGAAACTGTTCGTCAAACCTCGGGCGAGAAGGTGAACCCTCCGCCCGTATAGCTCAGTAGGCCATGGAGATAGACAAATCGCTACAGCGCAATAAGATCCGATCCTTTTGTAGCGGGATCTCTCAAGGTTATGATGAGACTGGCTGATGCTTGCTTATCAAGGAGGGTGCTTAGAGAGTTCGTCCACAGTAACTCCGAACTAAATTGAGCGATTTGGTATTACAGTTGCTCTAAGGCAATCTGACTACTGGTAGCGCCAACAACCTGTGATGACATTCAGGATTATCTTGGACTGGTATAATACTCCGGTAACCAAATTCAACCCACTGATAAAAAGCCTCGTTGGTTGTCTACGTTAACCCAGTGGCCTGATAGGTGGATTCGGCTAAATTGATGTTTCCAGCGTTCTGGTTTCAAGTGTTTGACGAAAACGATAGTCAGACCGTTGTAAGATGTAATCCCAAAGACTGAGGTTCTCCCCTGGAAATACGAAGGTCACAGACCCAGTCCAGCACTAATCCATGCTTGTTTATTCAACTTTGTTGACCTAAGGGGAAGGACTTCGATAAGCAGTGCCGTTAGGTAAACATATGATGTGTGTAAAAATAGCCACAACCTCTGCGTTAAATCAGTTAAACGATATGGATTTTTGAAATGAATTTACAATAAAGCTGGGATTTACTGTCACAGGTGGGGGAATGGGAATAGCATTATACAGGAACTAGAACATTTTTATGGATATAGCACTCCTCGGCTGTCGAAGAGTCTTCTGCAACCCCGAAGGTGGTGCTAAGGCTAGAAAAAAGCTCGGATATCGCGTCAACTGAAACATGAAACGATCTTGCATATGCAGCTGAAGATTACCATAAACGAGAGATTCAGCTTGGATGCAGTCGAGCCTCCCGTTAATACCAACCTAATTTACCAATGATAGATTGTTGTAGGCGACCATGTAGGTAAGCAACATCCATGTGCGTGTTTCTTGGGGTTAAAAGTGGCTATGCGACTGAGGAGCTTCGGACTATCCGAGCGCACACATTCTTGGAGGGGAAGGCAAGTGCAGAACTTCGTCTTCAAAAGATTGCTCATTATGCTTCCAAAAGCGATAGACAAGAATTGATGGAAAATGCCGTTTGATTCAGCCATTGGAAACGAAAAAACTTCGGTGTGGCACACAAAAATGACATGAGATCCGTCGTCCCTTTCAAAGGTAACACAGCGAAATGACAGTCAGATAAAACTTACCTTCTCGCCTTTTTTCCCAGGTAAGGGTAATTCTTGATACGGTCCATTGATAATGTGATAGGCCATCATGAAAGTAAAGCTGTCACCCTGAAAGGGTCAAGTAAAGAAGAACACCGGTATAGACACATGTTCAATGACATGAAGTACGCGCTTTGCTACGACCGATCGATTCACAGGTAGCGCTAGGATAATCCTCTAACTGTTGAATGGTTCATCAAAATGCAACGGCCAGTCTGGTGGAGGGTTATCCTACTATGATACCCTACGAGAAGCTCGGAAACGCACTCCAACATGTTTTTTATTCGTAATTTACCAAGTCCTGTGGGCAATGCACACAGGAAATTCACATGCGGAGACGTTCAGACGGAGAAACTGAGATTCGCCGAGCGTGTGGAGATAGAGTAAGGATAGCCCCCTGGCTTCACAAATCAAGCCAGCTGTGACCAGTAGTGGAAAGCTCATGGTGTCCTCCGATGAGGTATCAGCGTCTAACCGATGAGATCTACTTTAAGCGTTTGGGTTAGGATGCCTATCTACCTGCAGAATGGTTCCACCGTGCGCAAAGCACTGAACAAATACCATGATCGCACACCCGTTGTGATTTTGTTCCATACACGGGACTCCTTGTACTTAGGTGCACCCTTACTAGTGACATCACAGTAGTGAAATGAGATGTGGTAGTAATCCGTTCAAATTGGAACAACAGTAGAGTCTCGTGGTGTGGATGAATTGGAATAAGTATGGCATGACAGGTGAAGAGCTGCACAAACGGGAGTACAGTAGACAGTCCACACTACAGTTCGGAGTAGCATCACCAAACTGGATTATGCAATTCACCATTGAGTTGAGTAACCGGTATTTTGTTCAGACAGCTATGACATATGTACAGGAAGTGCTCAACGGCATTTTGTTCATGGCGCAGTACTTTAGTTGCTTGTATTTTTTTTATCAATATTCGACCGTAGTACTGAATTTTTCCTTCCTAAACACGCTAATGTGTATGCTGAAAGACATAACTTCCGAAACATGTGTTAATTTTGGCAGGGTGTGTTAATAACACCACGAACGCCGAGCAAACAGTGCGGTAAACTAGTCAACAATAAGGCACCATCGATCGATCGGTGAATTTTAGTGCGCGGGACTGGTTCACATCACCTGTCACATATAAATGACGAGAAGTGGCAGCTCGATAACCTGGCTTTTCTATTTTAACTATTTCTAATGAAATGACAATGGAATGCAAGACCCATTCGCCGTGATGCTATAAATTACCACACCGTGGTAAATGCATGTACTACCGCAATATTGGGTACTTGCGTTAGCGATTGAGAGCAGGATAGGAGTCAGAACATGGTAGAGACAACGGCCTAACAATCGGACCCAAGGAGTACGCAATAGGAAAGGGAATAGAGCATATTAATGGCCATCCTACTGTTGAAAGGGTGTAGCGACCTTACTGAACGGAAGCTCCGTTGTTCGAACCCAACCCTAGCATCTCGAGTGCTCCTGACTAGGCTTGGGCAACCTGATAGTAGCTCAGCCCCCGTATTTACTTCGACTAGCACCGATTGTTACAGCCGAACGGTGATGATGACGACAAAATTCCTGTGCAAGTAACAGTAGAAATTCGACTGGCTAGTCCGAGCCATGTGCCTTGACCCAGCTACTTAACAAGCGTTGAGAAGTCTGCGCAATCGCTCAGAAAAATCAAAGACACTTGGTTTCCACAGAGGGCTACACAGGAAGCAAGTCTCAGCTATTATGGCCTGAGTTAGCTTGACATGAACGGCACCCGAATGGCCAGTTAGAATGACCACCAAGCAGGAGGCTGGATTAGTGTTACTGTTTTGGGAAGAGCCATTGGTGGTTGACTTGTGAACCCAGCCACAAAGATAGCTATCCAAAGTGGTTACGGACGTTTCTGTTGTGCGTGTAGAGTGAAGGCTGACAGATGAATGGTATCACAGAAAACGTTTCTGAGAAACAGCAAGCGAAACAATTTCACTAGCTGCGTACTGTTCTAAAGATTGTTAAAGTGACTCACTCCCCCAGTCAGCCCTCAGTTACGCAATTGTAAACACTAGTAATCGACGTCCAGATTAAGATGGCCATCGGTTAGACTGATTGCTCACTTGATCCCTTATTAGAATGCGCTACATATCGAAAAAGCCAGAGAATTTTTTAAAACATTGTATTCCCGTGGACGAAGCCACGGATTAGAGTTGGTATGCCATCGTCTAGAAACAGCTAAGCGAGAAAGCATGACGATTGGACTTTGCTTCGGTAGTGACGTGTTAAATAGTGCTAAGCATTTTGATGCCCAACTAGAAAGTTTGTAGTTCCAAGCACAAAATCCGGCACGCATGCACGAGCTTCTCTCTGTCCAGTGCCGCTTACTGTGCAATTTGGTCAATGATTACGCATTTAATAAGGCTATTCGACATATCAGCCTTCCGATCCTAGTCAAAGGTGCATGTGCAAATACCAACTAAGAGCTGGTGGCTGCTTGGGGCGATAGTCCGCACAACAGCGTTGACGGTCGCGGTTTACAAGGGTTGGTCGCTTCGCCCCTCACGAATCGATGGCCTGTGTTTCCAGAACGGGTGTCTCCCAGGGTATTTATCCGCAGTATACAACTCCGGTGCAACCTGCTTAGGATGAGGGTTAGAAGCGACCGGCGTGGTCATGCTGGCCAAACAATCTCTGTCGTGGAAACTGTGGTCGATCGGACAGTTTGGTGCATATTCGCAAGTCCTGCTGGATCACGCACTGATACTTATGTACTCGTCGTAACCGGGTCGCAAGGGGACTCGCGAAACGTCTCCGTCGTCGAGGAGTTCAGAGCACCTACGTCAACGTCTAATCGCTGTCCTGAAGCGCCAGGCAACTGCGATAGACGTAAGCATAGTCTCGGATGGGCGCGGAGTGACCGTGAGGAATGAGAAGAAGCAGAAGTATGGTGCTAGTGATTGTTCTCTCACCATCATCTCAGCCCCATGTCCAATCGGTTGTAATGTCGACCAATGATCAATCCATATTGATGGATTTACTTTCCTCTATCCGCCAAGGCTGTTATAGGACTGCGACTTCCAGTGATTTGTTTCCTGATCATTTCGAGCTGGATAAGTACTTACGACGCTTTTGTGCGTGGCACATAGCGCTGAGTGTGCATTCCTGTCATTGACTTTGACACCTGGTCCACTATGACAGATAGTTTGTGCCTGGTGTGCGAGTCTTGATTGTGCTAGCGCCTACAGCGCCTTGAGGAGCACTCCGCATTTTGTCTACCGTTTCTTGAAGTGTGTTTCCATACCAAAAACGCTTAAATACGTTGGGAAACAACTTGTCTGACTGGAAACTATTGGTGGCACGCCTTCAAACGGAATGTTTCCCTTGCTTTACGTAACCTTCTCCCATACACCCTTTCACACCCATCGCTCGGATTAACCTTATGCTTGTGGTCATGTTCTTCAAAGATAGATGATGACAGCAGTGGCATCCAAAAAATTTTGACGATAACGCAGACAGCAGCAGTTGGTGTTGATAGAGTATTAACATGTGATTCTGGGAGTTTAAAAACACCAAATCAAGCTGACGTTTAAATCAAGACTATTCGCCAGTCTGTACTCGCTCTGATTGGTCCTCATCTTGTACTGGATACCATGCGTCGTGTTTGGAGAAACAACAAGGCGGTTGTGAGATGCCTTAAGCACCATAAGAGTAAAAAATATTTAAGAATTCCACACGCTAAGGCTAGTCGGTGTATAGTGACTGACCGGTTATCTGAACAACAGAAACGTCAAAAACAAAGTGCCTGGCAATCTAAGGATATACCATCGTCCGATTGTGAACTGGTGATTATTGGTCAGGATAACAGACAGCAGAAACGATTTAAGTTCATTAGTGCCTCTTCTAGATAACGAATTCTTCAAGGCGACTGTGTGGCTAGGCACGGTACTCCGCGCTCATTCGTTTTTGTACAGCACGAGCACCTAAAAAATGATATCATTCGCGCAGCACAGACAATGATTGCGCAGAGACCGAAAGGCCCAGATCCAATGCAAATAAGTGCTTCCGAAAAGTAGAGTACTGCTCCGTATCACATGTTAAAACATATTGAACAAATGCTATAATGCATTCCAAGGTTTATATCTGCAGGAGGGGGTGATAACGGTTGCTGCAAACCTACACCATCCTCCAACCTACCAAAACTCAATCGAGTGGGTGGAAAATCCATGTTTACGTGGAAAAACCCGAATAGTTCTTAGTACCTGTGACACCATATTCTTACACATCCATGTCATGCACCTACATCTGTTAGAAAGGAAGTGCTGGAATAACTCGCCAATGATAATAGAGGAAAATGCAACAAAAGCAAAAACAGTAGGACACGTTGGCTTACCTTTGGTTTACATATTAACAGAGTCTTGTCAAATAGGAATAAGTACCTTGAGGGGATTGAAACGGAAAGAAAGTGAATAGATTTGGAGTGAACAAAAGAACCCGGCAGGAGGAAACTAGGCAACAAGTGGGCGGTGAGAATCGATACGCAGTTACGACTACGCGGATAACCTGCAACCGTAAAATGGCAATTCAGACTTGCGAGAAAGTTTGTGTCACATGACAAAGGTAGGGCATGAAAGGCTAATGAGTCCCCAATCGAAATTATCACATGTGACGATTTCTGAGCAGCCGAATGAAATAGTGTCCAATTCCCTCAAAAAGGACCTCTCCTCAAAAGGACCCTCCACAAGATTAAGACAGTGTTATCTCTACAAGTTCGTGCCTAATGAGAGACAATCCCCTGTAATGGAATCTATCTGTGTTGTAAGCAATTAAGCTATAAATTATTCACAATAACCGATGCCAAGTCGGTGGGAATCGCGCACTTAGGAACGAATGACTAAGGATGAATGGAACTCCCTGTGATACGCACGTACGTCTTCGTGGCACGGTAATGCAATCCAGGCGTTTCTGTATGAAACCAGGTACGTAGAACCGCACACGCATAGGGATATTGGTCTAACTACCGAGATTTCCTGAAAAGAGGCCAGTGATGGGAAGAACCGCTTTGCATCCTGCATTGGGGTGCGGAATCTCTTCCCAAGTGGTGCCCGTCAGCGGTATATCCACCGAACCAGCTAAAGCTATCACTCGCGAAGTTGAGTTAAAAAAGCGCCTCTTTTGTGACAGTAAAACATGATAGGAACTGCGTGACAATAAATGTTGTGTATCGTTAATCCATTTGAACGGAATCACAAATGAGTTGTAAAATACTTTGAATTTTTCACGAAAACATGACTATGCTCTGCGGTGTCCATCAGTGACAAGCCAATAAGGAAATTGGTGCAAGCCCAATGACAGCATCTCAACTTGCTCAATGAGAGACTTACCTAATTTTCGCTTTAATTTCAATTTTGTTTACTACTTTCACCTCGCCATCCATATGTCGTCGACCGTAGCTGGAGAGTTTTTTGTCAGTCGGCTGAAAGGAAACAGATGACAAAGGTTCATATGCAGATGTCCTCATTCTGAGGTTAGTGAGAGACAGAAAATCAGGATGATGTTGCAATGAGGAGGAATTTCAAAGTAATTCGAGTTTTCTCACAGTCAAGATGGTCGGCCTTCAGCAAGCGGTCACCTTAGACGAAGTACATACATAGCTTATTAACAAGATAACGAGGATTTTTGTTCACCGCAGTTAGTTCACTCAAAAAGAAAAGGAAAGTGCCTTGTTGGCGTCTAAGTATGAAATAAGCTTCATAGAAATTTCGGAGACTATACCTACCTGATAAACCCCAGGAAAGAACCTGGTAGTCGGTCGTCTACAGGTTTCATGAGCCTACGAAATGATCTATTTTTATGTGAGATACTACTGCACTCATTGTTACCGTTAGCATCATTTGGAAACCAACTAGAAAGAGACGTCTAGTCGGAGGGTGTGTTGCACTGAATAAACCTTTATAAAGAGGTAATTAAATACTGTTGAAAGGGAAGCCTAACAATTAATAAATAATGATCGTTCAGCTCTAACACCCTTTCGGTGACTAGCTGCCGTGCAACCCGAACGAGGCATGAGGACTGGTATACTGGCAGGTTGCTCAAGCCTAGACAAAAACAAAGCGAGAACCCAGAGTCCTGTTAGAACCACAAATTTTCCATTTGGAGTTCTCGTCCCAACCACTGAGCCAATCCGAATTCCAAAAGGAAGGTTGGTACTGGTTCAAACAGAAAAACTGTCGGCTGAACCTACTTGGATTACCACGTCCGGACAGGTGCGAGAACGCGTCTGCACTTGGACAGTGTGACTAGTTGGCCCATTAGTTCGAACAGCGATACACTACTAATCTTGGTGGTGTCCATCGACTAAATTAACGTTGCGCACCATTATATCGTCTCTCACGAAACCTTTCCGTTAACTAGTTAACTTGAGCTGAAATGCCTGATATGAGGGACGCATAGGCTGAAATTATTATACACGCATGTGCAGCTGTTGTGTGCTAAAAATGCCCACTAACCGCCAATAAGGATTCAAAGGCTGGAAGGTGAACAGTGAAAAAAAGACGACTGGTGATCGAAGGACCTCCGTCCGTATTTAACTGACTTTCAAACAAGCAGCGCCAGCTAACTAGGGGAAAACTAACTTAACCCAAATTACTTGACTGAATCCGCGGAGCTGCATATGGAATTGAATAGCCTAATGACGGTGTGAGGTAGTGATGATGAATTGCGTCGCACAGCGGCACAAGGACAGTTAATTAGCGACCAGATGGTGTGAAGAGCGACCAACAAACCCAGCAGTTGGCCCGGTGCACCTGTTCAGTCAGACAACCGTTGTACATAGGCAACCATCTGGTAGTTGTGACGGCTTCGGGAGTATTGTACATGGGCGGTAGATAAACAGTCAACTACCAACAACCCAGCGTACCCTGAGACCTGTCAATAGAAAGTTTGGCTAACAAAACACGCATCCGCCACCCTTGCGAACAGAGGAGCGTCTATCCACATGAGACGAAGCACAGTGTTGGACAACAAATGACTGGTCCGAGTGAACTGAAACCCGCGTCGTCAAATTCAATCGTTACAAGAGCTGTTTATTACACAAATCTGGGTGGTGCATGAAGATCAACAAGTGCTTATCACGAATCTTGGCTGTCCAGCTGCCGAACGGCTACCTGTGAATCACGTTATCGATTAACACCGATATCTGGTATTATTCGCCCAATCAGACATGTGCAAAACTGAGGGGTTATCTAAAATACTTTTGGCGCCAAGTACTTGAAAACTGATCGAAGATATCACAACTGCTTTCTTCGACAGAAATGTTGGTTTTTATCAAAGCCAAAGTTCACGATCCTCATAAGCTAGTAAACTCCAGCACACCGATTTTCACAATTCACGAAAAGAGAACAGTCACAATATGATTCATTTAACCTTTCGCGAAAGAAACAATCATAGAATGTTGATATAAAAATACCGTATAAGTGAGAAAGGTTAGGAAAAAAATAATGTCCACAAACCGTCGCCCATTGACAAGAAGATGGAGGTCCCGAAAATCTTTGTCGACCGTATACTAATTAACTGATACTGTGTGGCAGTCAGAATAAAGCTAGAACGAACCTCTCGTGACCTATGGAAATTCGTTTGGAAGGAAATTTCATATTTTTCCCATCTCTTTCTCCACCCTACATGCGGTCTACCGATAACACCCTTTCGGTGCCCAACTGCCATGTCACCCGAAGGAAGCAGGAGGGCTGCCAGGTTGTCCAAGCCTAGACAGGGGAAGTTGAGAGACAGGTCGGGTTCGAAACACGGTCCTTGTGGTCAGTAAATTCGCGCTCTAACCATCTGGGCCATCTCCCAGTCGACCGTTCAGGAATGACAACAGTCCGCGAAAGCCACATCTTACTGGGATCAACGCGGTCCTCGTATAGGAGTTATGCCCACAGATATCAACTTGCAATGCTGCCCTCACAACCGATATGCCCAAACAGCCCGATAAAAAATCTGCAGCCAGGACAGGGTTGACACGATTGCGAGGAAAGGGGACTGCACAATCACAAGCAAAACACATCACCATTTCAGTCTATGTGGCTAGTGGGCAACAAGAAAAAACTGAGCTCATGCTATCGCAGCAGACAGATCGTAATGATATGCAAGCGGTTGCGGCTCGTTCACTCTACTATTGGAAGACTGACAGCTGCCAAGTCGCAACATAAAACTAGCATAAATGGATGAAATACGTTCTACTTGCACGGGCCTCTTCTGAGAATAATCAAGGACCCATGTACTAATAAGCAGGAGAATACTGGACAGCTTTCCACCAAGTATCGCGGATACATAAGTGGAAACGTATGTCACCCTGTTCAAGGATAAACACAGCACACGACAAAATGTCCACAGATATCGGAGAACAGCTTGCTGGGTGTCACGATCGATAAACTGAATGCCTGAAATTGCAGGATCTCCGTTGAAAAGAAAGGGATTTTCGGGGAAAACAATGCAAAATCGTGTGGCGCTACTCGTGACTTTACAAAACTCTCTGGGATATGGTACAAATGAAACTTTCATCGTCAATCCAAAGGCTGTCGCAATACAGCAGCCATCGGCTGTAAACGACGTGGTCACTGGATTTTTGGTTCAAGTTCTCCCAAGTTCGTATAGAAAAAACGGTAATATCCTTTTCTTTATTGAGAGTCATCCAGCTTATTATATCATGAAATCATGTAACTATGCATGTTCATGGGCGATTGGAAAAAGTTATGTGCACTGGGCAGATTGGGAGTTATCTTACTTTTCTAAATAGTTTTGCTGAAAAAGCATGTTTTCTGCTTACGGCTTTACCATTTTGTACCAAACAGCTTCACGCCCTCCATTTTACTGTGGGAAGCCTTCGTCGTTGATTTGAAGGACACAGCAATTGAAATCCCACTTACGAATAGTTGGTCCCTAAGTGTGCTCTCAAATTTGGTTGAACTGGACAAATCGCAGAGCTTCGTACACCGACTGAAAACGGGGGTTGTTGTTGTTTTCCGCAAATTAAAATGGGATTTACGTTAAAGACTTCCCAACAATCGCCACAGGAAATGTATGATTCATCCCATTGGGCTACTAACACGAATTCGACGGATTCGAACAACGCCAGTCACTTAAGAGATGGAAAGGTGTACTGTAAAAGCATTTTGCTGCAATGGTTTGGAATCCTTTCATCATGTTTGAGTGCAGACCCATGCTTTGACCCAAGGCATACAGAGAAATATTTTACTCTAGAGCAGATATAGGTTGTACGTGAGAAAACTAGGCTGATGTCTCGCTACGTTTGTCTCAGAATCAGGCGAAGAAAAACAATAGAAAAATCACTATGTAGAACTCCAAGTACATTGTATTGGGTTGCCGTGAACCTTTGGTAATAAAGGAAAATCGGCGAGGAAACACGGCCGTACGAATGACCTGCACTGATATAGAACTCCTAATGAAAGTTGGGACCAATGTCACCCTTGTTACATTTTACGACTAACCAGATAAGGTTTGCCATAAGTGTGCGCATGGGAATCGCAAGTGTATTGAGGAAAGAGTTAAGTCATAGGAGCAATTTGCTACATAGCTGTCGTACAACCCAAAGGGAGCAAAAGACTAAGGCGCCGAAGAGCCGCCCAGTCAGTAGGTCGCACCTTAACCAGTGAACCTTTCGAGATCCATGCGTCTGTTGTAAGCGGTCAGAGCCGAAGTGGATTAGGACCACACTAAGTACAGTCCATCGTATCGATTTGCTGTGAATTCAAGGCCACCGATGTGCTGGTTCATCGTGGTAGGAATGACGTGCTTCAAGCGAACACCAAAGCATCTGTGATGGAGCTAGTCGACTGGAGGCTAAAAGATATCTGAAACCAAAAGTGACGTCACTGTATTCGCGTGCACAGCCAACGCTCAACACGCGAAAAGCGTTGCTGGGAAAACATCGGTAAGCAGTGACAATAACAAGACATGGATTGCCGATCGATCACTTTAGACGGAGTTGCTCAGATCTCATTGTGTGCATGCTCTCAACTTAAAGCAGTATTCTTTCACCCGCATTATAGTTACAGCAACCAACATCGGAAAGACCCTTTCAAACAAGACATTGCTCCGAGGACAAGTGCTCTCCTTCAAACACGCCCTGTTCACAAGCAACTCCACAGGAAAGGCCTCGTCCTCGAGGCGATGGGAAGGATACTGCAGTTCCATCATTGCCTCCTATGCAAACATGTGCACTCCGAACACTCTTTGTCATATACATACGCCTTACACTAAAAAAACTGAAGCGAATCGAACTGAGACGCTACTGACCGCAACTATGTCAAGTCAAACTGTTATCAGTTTATAATAACGATGGTGTCTAAATGCTGATAATAGGACTAACCAGAATATCGCTGAGATTGTAGAAAGTGTGTGTAAAAAGGTGTCTTAAAAGAGACCGAAAAGAACTAAACATGGACACTAAAAGCT